TTGCACACTAACAACCATCCCGTCCCGTCCCGTCCCACCCCATTCCATCTATTGCAGCACTATACCCATATATTACAAAACTTACTCAGCAGTCAGCAGCACTGCACTCTGTCACTTCAAAGACGACGACGTCGATAAATCAACCAATTTATTCATTTATTATAAAATAAAACAAAAACCGGATTTTGCAGCTCTATTCCGAACGTTTCGTTAAGTTTGCTTTTATTACTTATGATATTTATTACTGTTGTTATTTCTATTATTATGGCTGTATTACGTAATACTGTCATTGGCTTAGTCATACAGCGCAACTCGGGTCGTAGATATATCTGTGTACGTATATATACACGTTTGGTATCATATATACCCTTCCAGGCAAGTTCAATCCCCTTCGCGTCAATAATTTTTGTCAAAATTCGATATTTTGTCAAAATTTGTCAAAATATTTGTCTCATGAAAAATCGATTGCTTGCCTTTTCTCTCGTGATGAGCGAACTGTATGCGGTGGTTTTAACGTGGTTGGTTTCGATAGGGGTTGGCGATGTTGCTGGTGGTGATTTAGCGCTGCAGCAGCAGCACTGGATATCTGCTGGTGGTGATTTTGGGCTGCACAATTCGGATTAACGTTTCTTGAAGCGCGTTTCTGCTGCTGCTGGAGTTGATGTGATGCCAATGCGGTAGTAGTGCTGGAACAGGCTGCTGCAGAAGAGGTGCTTGCTGTGGCTGAGGTTGAGGTTGAGGCTACGGTGGCTGAGGTTGGAGTCGAGGTTTGGTCTCGAGGCGATGACGACCGATGAACAATGCCGAGCCCTGTTGAGGCTGCTGCTCCTGTTACATCGCAACTGGATGCTGCTGTTGCAGCACTCTTCTTGAGTCCTAACTGGAAATTCAACTCGATTCCATTCAATACAAACAAATAGAAACCTCAAATCCAACTGAAAACATACTCAATTGAAAACTCAAAACATTATGACAAATTATGGCAAAACATTATGACAAAACATTATGGCAAATTATGACAAGAACATTACGACAAGCATTATGGCAATCCAACTGAAAGCA